TCTCTCTCTCTCTCTCTCTCTCTCTCTCTCACACACACACACACACACACACACACACACACACACACACACACACACACACACACACACACACACACACACACACACACACACAAACGCACACGCACACATGAGCATGTTCTTTTAGTGTAGAAGACACCTGAAGAAAAGGACATTTTTAGTGGAAGCATTTCATTGGCTCACAGCGTGATTGACAGACAGCAATAGATGGGCGGGATTTGCGGGATATCTCGGCAGGGGATTGAAAGAAAAAAAAGGCAAGTCAGCAGCTTCCTGAATGTTCCGCTCTGTTTGAAATATTCATGTGATTTAATATTTCATTGTGATATGCTCAAGTGTATGTATGATGAAAAATGGAAATTAAAAAAAAAAAAAAGAAGGAAATAAAACTAGCATCACCATCAAAGGAGGGCTGTCTGTGTCTACTTCACATTAATCCTTTATACAGAGGGGCTCACTGACGTGCACGCAAGTACACATTTCTGATTCTATGTGATTAATCATCTCCAATCAAATTTTCAATTTGTTTGGTTTCAATGTTTTTAGGAGAAACGCAATGTAACCGGATGAGAGTAAAAGTCAGACAGGAAGTCGTTTTATTCCAGGGACTGCGTTCAAAGCCCTGCTCCTCTTTTTGTGCATCTCAGACCATTTCATGTGCAACATTGAAAACCATCATCATCATGACAACAAACTTCCTGTAACATTCATAAGTGTTAAAAATTCACCTGTTGTCTTCCTTGCGTCTCCACTACTGCTGCTGTATAAATAAAATAGAATCGTCTCTATTTGACCATGAATAAGCCCTTCTTATCAGCATGCCTGTTCATCAGCAACAAAAGCATCGGATTTGCCTCAAAATGGCTGCTTGGAATCAAAATGGCCGCCTTCCTGTTCAATTGTATGCACTGGTCATTGGTGGGGGGGCGGGGGGGGTTCATGGTCGACATGTCTGCCGAATTTCACGTCAATCCATGAAACTGGTGTCTGGTGAAGATTGTTTTTTCATTTTCAATTTTCCAGGAGGCGCTGCTGAGTGAGATTGTTGAAAATTTGTGACCCCGTGCGTGGCCGACATTGATTGCCGAAGGTGAAAGTCATTTTTGGAAATTGGTGTCCAGGACTGATTTTGTCAAAGAAAACTTTCCAAGTGACACCACAGATTGGCTTATTGCATATTTTGACACTGCATCACTTGGCGTAGGTGACAAATCTTGGCAATTTAGCGCTACCCAACTGAATCTGCTTCAAACCTCAGACTGATTCCATGAGGCATCAATGGTTGAATTTTTGGGTGCGTTGGGAACCAGGATACAGATATTTTCAAAAATGGGTGTAGTTTCAGGCATGTTGACTCAAAGCGCTCTAAAAAAGGGGTTAATGCAGCTCCGTTTTGGCAAGTTCCACAGAAAGAGCAGGGATTTCTCCCAAAATGGCTGCCTCAAACCAAAATGGCCGCCTTAATTTTCAATTGTGGGTCCTTGAGACAATTTGGGGTGTCGTGTGACATGCCTGACAAATTTCACGTCAATCTGTGAAACTGGTGTCTGGGTTACTGAGTGAATTCTTGGACGTTGTGCTGAGGGCCTTGAAAATATGAAAACATTTTCGCCAGGATGTACGTTAGCAAGAATTGTACACATTTTCAGGCATGTCGCGGGCCCCTAAAAAGCAGATGAATTCTGATCTTTTGGGCAAATGCTGTACTTGCAAACCATTGAATTCACCGAAAATGGCGACTTTAAACCAAAATGGCCGCCTTCTGATTAAATCTCAGGCATGGCTCAAGTAAACAAATCAAATGCTGACACCTAGGATATATATTGCATAAATTGTTGTGTTTTGGGGGCGTGCGGATGCTCACGCAAAAAGCGATTCAAGTCCAACTTCAGAGAGCGGGGGGATGGTCTAACACTACTTCTACCCTGAGAATACAAAGCAAACAGGTAGAGGTAGAGACCGCTAAAGCCTAGGTCACACTACATATTCCATACATTGATTGGATTGTGCATGATGTATGAATGAGTTTTAAAATACTAGCCCCACAATTTTTTTTTTTTAATAACTCTCAAAATTTCTTATGTTATACATTGAAGCTTATAATATAACAATATATTTGAATGCAGGAATGTTGATGGAATTATCACACATTTGTCACAATAGAAGTTGTGGTACAACCTTGGCAAATCTTGCCCCAAAATGATGAAAATTAATGATGGAGGAAAAAAATAATAATTGTAGAAAAAATGCAAAATAAATCTTGAAAAAAACCAAACCAAAACAAAACAAAATTCTCTGAGCATTAAAACATTCAGTCTTGGCACATTTTGATTTCTCTTTGGGGTTATTTTTCAGGATGAGTTTCTTAAGCGTCATCAAAGGTATGCCCCCAAAATAATAATAATAAATAAAGAATCTCCAAAATATTGCTTTTTTTTTTTTTTTTTTTTTTTTACATTTGTGTCAGCTCACTTGTTATCAACAGAACATTTTGTTGCTTTAAACATTGTACTCATAAAAGTAATATAAATTATATGATCTTTTAAAATAGTTTGATTCTGCATTTGAGCAAGATTTTCATTGAAAACTGTGCAAAAATGTGCCAATGCATCGCAAAATATAGACGATTGGCTTTTATTTTAGAATTGCTCTCAATAGTGGTGGGTTAGTCGAGCGAGGCAACAAAAAAAAAATGTCGAAGAAAGTTGCCAAGACAGGTGCGTAACAGTACGCAAAAAACATTTGAAGATTGGTGTGTCGTGTTGGATTCCTGTTTTACTATTAACTGCATTCATTCATTCATTCATTTTCCGAACCGCTCGATCCTCACTAGGGTCGCGGGGGGTGCTGGAGCCTATCCCAGCCGTCTTCGGGCAGTAGGCGGGGGACACCCTGAATCGGTTGCCAGCCAATCGCAGGGCACACAGAGACGAACAACCATCCACGCTCACATTCACACCTAGGGACAATTTAGAGCAGTCAATCAGCCTACCATGCATGTTTTTGGAATGTGGGAGGAAACCGGAGTACCCGGAGAAAACCCACGCAGGCCCGGGGAGAACATGCAAACTCCACACAGGGAGGCCGGAGCTGGATTCGAACCCGGTACCTCTGCACTGTGAAGTCGACGTGCTAACCACTGGACTACCGGGCCGCCCCCTATTAACTGCAGTTAACCTCTTTTTACACTTGCCGCCAGAATTAGAGCAAAAATCAGAGCAAAATATGCCATGGAAAAATTCAAGCCAACAGGAAATTTCGCATCAACGGATTATTTAAAATGATTTGTTTTTGTGACAGGTACTTTTTAAAAGGAGCGTTTTCTTAATATTCTATTTTACGAAGAACAATGGCGGACTTCTTTTTACACATGAATTTGTATTTTGCGCTACGGAGCAAAAATCCTGACAAGAACACCACCAAATATGATGCAACAACCGGAGTTTGACACCTTTGGTTTCGATGGTACTGTGACCTAGGCTTCAGGCGCAAGGGGAACAGAAGCTGGGATGAAGGCAGGAGTATAGAACAAGCAAAAGGGAAATTGACGTGTAGTCACTATCGACTCAAGGCTAAACGACTTGAAAGTTGTGCAACTCGGGTGCAAAAAACAAAAAAAAAACCCAAAAACTGCATTGCAGGGAGCAGTCTGAAAATACGAACCCTGTGATTGGCCGGGACAAGGAAGGTGGACGTGTCCTGCTATGCTTAAAAAAAAAAAGAAAAATAATAATAATAATAAATTAAAATAAAAAAAGAAAAAGTCAGTCGTCCACAGAGCCTGACTCGGGCTGATTGGTGGCGTCGAACGACAGCGTCCGCCTCCTGAGCTCCACACTGCTGTCCATCAACTGCGTCGCCATGGTAACCGGCTCCTCCCCCGGGGGCGGGCTCACACGCTCCTTCCTGTTCCGGCCCGACACCGGCGATGCCGATTGGCTGAGGCGGCCGCGAGCCTCGTCGGGATCGGGAGCCAGGTGTCTGTGCGAGTGCGCGTTGATGCGCCGCACTTCATCGTCAGTGTCGTCCGCCACCTGGGGCTCCGACCCCCCTGCGTCCTTTCCCGCCAGGTCCCGATCGGGTCCCGGTTGCGATCCGGCCGCATCGCCGTGACTCCGGCATGAGATGATCCTCTGCGGTTGGGTGTATTTCAAGGTGTGAACGCTGGACGAGCGCTGGCGGGGCGGCGTGGAAGTGGAAGATGTGCCGGCGGGCGCGGGGGGGAGGCTGTCCGACACGTTGTCAGCCGAGCCGCTTTGATCCAGTGAATCACAACGCACGGCTTCCTACGCGCACACACACGGAAACGTTGCCAGGCAAAGTATTTGGTGCAAAGTCAGATGTTCCTTCGTGAATTAACGTTTAAAGGAAATTCAAGGGGAAGACGATGAAGTGTTGGACCAATTTGTGGGGCAAATTTGCATGTGCTCCAAAGACCTTTTTAGTTTTACATTTTTTTTTTCCCAGTTTCCTTGAATGTTAAGGAAAAAATATTCTCAAGACCTGTTGATAGCCAGACTTTGTGGGGCCAATTTACGGGTGCCCCAAAGCCGTTAAAAAGTCTTTCCTTTCCATGTTAAAAGGAAATTAAAGGGAAAGATGTGGTGTTCTGCAAAGTCGTTGGGCAAATTTGCATGTGCCCTAAAGTCCTTTGTTTTTGTCATTGTGAGTTATTTGGTATGAACAAATCACTTTGCTTGAATCTTAAGGAAAAAGAATGTGACAAATATTTTGAAGACTTGTCGCTAGGTAGAGTGCATGGGTTCATGAGTCACATGTGCCACAAAGCCATTAAAAATGTTCCTTTGTGAAAAGCTGTTATAAAGATTTAAGTGGTTGTTAGCCCAAGGTATGGGGCAAATTACCATGTGACCCACAGACCCTTTTTCTTTTCCAAACACTGTTGGTATGAACCAATCAATTACCTTGAATATGAAAGAAAAAAATGTGGGGGGAAAAAAAAAATCAAGACTTGTCACCAGGCAACGTTTGTGGGGCACAATCAAGTGTGCCCCAAAGCCCTTTCATGGAGACGACAAGAGAAAATTGGTGCGCAAATGCTGAATGAAAACGTGTGAGGCACATCACTTTGGCTTCACACCTGCGCCATTAACTTTGTGGGGCAAAATCCTGAATGCCCCAAGACTTGAAAAAAGGAAAAGGATCACGCGTAACGTCGAACACACCAAACATGAAATGAAAACACACTTACTTGTCTGCGCAACTGTCGACCAGCAGCGCGGAACGACGAGGGTCTCTTGAGGACGGAACTCTCTGGGATGTATGAGGGACTTAGCTTGTTGCGATCCAAACTCTCCTCGGGGCTCAGCCAATGAGAGGGCCCCCTGGAAGCCCCGTGCAGGGGACTCAGCCCCAGCGAGGGATGTCTGTCCATACTGCAGCAAGACACCAGCTTGGCCCTCTCCCCGCCCACCCTGTATCCGTCCACGCTCTGCGCGGAGCTCAGTCGCCGAAGGTCGGCTACCCGGGCGGGGCTGAACCGACACCCATCCACGCTGTGAGCCGAGTCCAGCCGGCGCCGGTCCGGCGGGGGGCCACGATGAGGCGAGCCCCTGTCGATGCTCTGGGAGCTGCTGAGGCGGATCACGGGGCGGCTGCTGCGCCCGTGGCCCAGCGAGGCGTGGCTAATGGTGGGGAGGGCGCCTGGGACCTGCAGCAGGGATCCGCCCCCGCTGGAGCCCAGTGACGACATGGAGCCTGCACAAGAAAAAAAGACAATTAAAAATACAACCGTGGCAACTTTCATAAGGAATACGTCATGTCTGAATCTTCATGGGCAAAGTTATGTGCGCCCCAAAGGTGAGCTCAAAATAATAATAATAATAACTATCAGTTGCTTTGGTAAAGAGGGCCATGCTCCTTCACTGCCACAAAGAGCAGAGTCCGGACAGGGAGAGGTGGCAGGGGCAGTAAGACGCTCAGAAATGACGTGTTGCTAGGCAGATTAGGTCGTGCCCCTAAGGCTACATTAAAAGTAAAACCAAAACAAAACACAACAACAACAAAGACCAAGTCTTTGTAGACACAAGTGGGACATCCCCAGAAAGCCAAAGAAAAAGCCAAACACACGGAAGCCTCACCCGAGTAGCCGTAGGCCGAGTAGGCGTCGACGCCAGCCGACGAGTACGCTGCACATCTGAGCGGCTGCTGGCTGTAGCTGTCGCTGGGCAGGGACAGCATGCGGCCGATGCTCAGCAGGTTGCCGCGGCAACGCTCCTCATCCTCCACCTGCACCTGCCCGATTCACATCGAATGCAAATCAGCGTCACATGACTCGGTGGCTTCATCCACAATCTCTTTCATGCCATCCATGTGTTGTGAACGACACTTTCAGTAGGTTTCCTTCCATCTCTACCGCAGCTCGATTAGGCAACTAAGTCGTCGGGTCTGAATTCGGTGAATCAAGACATGTTTGATCAACACTCATTTTCACAATCTTAGACTTTTCCCATGCATGCAATAAACTTGCCAGGTCTGAACCGTTCAGTCGCTTCAAGACATGGCGAATCGAGGCTGAGTTGGCGACCAACGGCATACCTGCGGAGGTGCGTCGCCGTTGGGGGCGGCGGGTTCCCCGCCCGCCGACGCGGCGCTGCGAAGGGCCTCCTCGCGCTCCCGCCGCTCCTCCATCTCCTCCAGCTGCGCCTCCTTGTTGCTCTCCTCCAGGTGCTTCATAAGGACGGCCACCACCACGTTGACCAGCACGAACTGCGCCGTCAGCACAAAGGTGACGAAGTAGACGGGCGAGATCAGCGGCAGGTAGCTGAGGCAGTGGCGGTCCTCCGGTCGGCAGTCGCGTAGCGTGTCCTCAATAAAAAAAAAAAAAAAAAAATACAAGCAAAGTTTGACAAAAATATTCTTACGAATGTATCAAATTCTGAAAAACCTTTTGCCAATGTCATCGTCTTCAACTCTTAAACTGGTAATTGTGTCACGTTTAAGGCACCGCGTTGTGCTTCCAATCTCCTCCAACGGGGGGCGCAAAAGACCTCGAGGCTGCTGAGGGCTTGTCTTTTGGCCCTCCGACTGTTACCAGATTTTAGTCTGTCCTCCGCCTAGTTTAGCATGACTCTCACACTAGAGGCATGTAAAATATTCTGGGGGGGAAAAAAGTTTTAAAAATGCTTTAAAGGGAAAAAAAAGTGAAAAAAAAATGCACAAAAAAATGGGAATGATCAAAAAAAGTATAAAAATGACGAAACAGATTTGGAAAAATTCATAAGAAATTTTACTAAAAACATTGTCAAATGTTCACAAAGTAAAAAAATGAACGACAATAAAAATTTACACACACAAAAAAAAAAACATTTCACACAAAGTAAAAATAAATCCAAACATAATTTTGTCGAAGCTCAACATGCATCACGTTGTGCTTCCACTCTCCTTCAACGGGGGGCGCAAAAGACCTTAGGCCTGCCAACCAATTGTCTCGTCGCCCTCTCCCGTCCCCTCGCTCTGACTGTTTCCTGTCTGGTAAAGTACGCTTAGCGCACGCCGCCATCTTCCATCTTGCTTCAAACCCAGACGGGTTCAAGCCCAGCCAATCACCTTCATGATCCCGTTCCAGTTGTCGCCGGTGGACACGCGGAAGAGCGTCAGGAAGGCCATGCCGAAGTTGTCGAAGGTGGCGTGACGGCTGAGGCCCTCGCACGGGTTCTCCTCGGAACATTCTGAAAGGCAATCGCCAGAGAGGCCTTAGAACAAGGGCGAATGGCGATACGGGGAGAAGGTGGTGGTGGTGGTTGGCTGAAATCGACATCATTAATGCATGGAACGCAAAAAAAAAAAAATAACACGCACAAGCGTACTGTACACATGCACACGCGCACTAACCCAGTTTTCCAAAGAGCTCAACTCCCAGAGCTGCATAGATGAAGAACAGCAACATGAAGAGCAGACCCAGATTCCCCACCTAGACGAACATACGGCACATACACACACATATACAGTACATGGATACGATGCCACACACACACACACACACACACACACACACACACACACACACACACACACACACACACACACACACACACACAAAGAGACAGTATACAGAGAGAGCGAGAGCGAGAGAATGAGAGAGAGAGCGAGAGAGGGGCGTACACAAAGCAGACAGAGCGTGCCAGCGCGCTAAATTAACTTGAAATCCCAAAAGATGCGCACAGTTCGTTGACTGGGAAAACAAAAAGGGAGGAGCACGAATACTGATTAGCAGGTCACGTGCATTAACGCATGTTTTAGGAGTCTTTCAAAGATCACCTGCAAATGTAAGTATCTAAGCAATTTTAAAACAAAGTGTCTCTCACACACACACTCTACATTAAAAAAAAAAAAAAAAAAAAAAATCCCCCAAAAATCTTTAAGGGAAAAAAGTAACAAAAGCCAAATAAAATTGTAAAAAATTTAAAAAAGGAGTGAAATGTATAAAAATAATGTCTACCACTACAACGCAAGACAGCCGATGCAACAGTGCTGAAAGGCATGTATTCTTTATCATCCGTGAGGAACGACTACTATTATTACCGTACTGACAGGTCAAGAGATGAGCTGAGAAAGTCCGAATATAAAATGCAAAACAAAGTGAAAGAAATGCAAACAATTACATGTTTAAAAAAGCGATCACATGTAAAAAAAATTAAATTGTAAAAATATGAACCATTCAAAACATCAACATCAAATTTTTTTGAATGATTTCATGATATTTGAAAGATGACTTTTGAAATGAAACAAAATGTTTCGCCCTCACCAAAGTCTGCTTTGTGGGGCTTTTTCTTTTCCAAACTCAGGACCCACCAAACTCTGCGATGGGGTTTCTTTAGGGTTTTTTTTCTCCTTTTCATAAAAGCACCCGAGAGAAAACATTTCTGCTTGCTCGCATTGTTTGTTTCTCATGAAGGAAAATTAGCCAAATGCTGTTAATTTCCGCAGGCAAACGTCATCAACGCGACTCTTTGATGTGGCTCCCGACGCTCTTACGAGCCTCCTTCCTCCATATTTGATGACAAATAGGCAGCGACGGGAGCCATTATGCAAAGGTACAATGACTTCATTTGCCATACATCAGCGAGCGCGTTTGTTTAAGCGTGAAAGAAACGAAAAAAATTGAATAAAATAAAAAAATTCAGCACTCAATGACTCACGATGCCGGAACGCATCCATCATGAAAGAAGGACGCAAAGGACGCTCATGCAAAGGAACAGAACTTTCTTCAACACGTTTTGGCCTCTTCTCGACACTCCAAAATGACTTTTTTTTCAACAGTTTTTGATTTTTTTTTTTTTAATTGCTAAAATAGGTGACAAAAATGCCTTTTTTTATATCTTCATTTTTTTCATGCCTCTTTGCAATCTGAGTCAAACAAAATGTCCTTTCATTTAAAATACTTCCAAACGCTGGAATTTATCTTCCAGTAAAGGGAAAAAAAACACAAGGATAGTTTTCAGTGACAATGAATATTTTGGGGGATTTTTTTTTTTTAAACATAAAAAATATTGAAAGGACCAAAACATGACAACCATTTACTTTAAAAAATACTGTAATAATTTGTCTTGACAAGAGACAGTTTGCTTGGAAAAAAAAAGAAAAAGAAAAAGGTGCTGTGAAAACAGAAAAACTTTTCGTTGACGAAAATCAGCTGCAGTCGCAAGTACCGATACCTTCAAATAAGGCCCAATACCGATGTTGGTATCAGTACTCACCCTTCCCTAATAACAAGCATCGATGATTGACAGGTTTGTGCTCTTCATGCCTGGTCCAGGACATGACTCCATTCTCCTCATTAGCTGTGCAAAAATTAATCGACAACTAATCGATGCTCAAATGCATCCAGATTTCTTTTCTGGTACTGGATGAATTGTTCGGCTACCCTTTAAAGCTGTCCATGAATGGAAATGAATTCTTAATCCGATTCAGCTGTTGAACGCAAAATAATCAACCGATTAACCGATGACCAAAATAATTGCTTAGTTGCAGCCCTACTTGGAATGCAAGCAAAATCGATTTTGGAATTCATCTTCAGAGGCCGCTTTCCCTTTGCTATGCGGTTACCTGAGGCAGCGCTTGCATGACCGTGTCCAGCAGAGCTCGCATTCCCGTGGCCATCTTCAACAGCTTCAGAACTGCAACATGCAAGGCACCGCACATCAGGAAGTTGCTACGCTCGGGGCCCGATTTGCTAAGATCCCAAATAGCGGGCACGCTAAAATTGCACGCTCACGCTAATGAGTGGAAAAGCGGAAAAACAGGCCCCCAGGTGTTGCTGTTGTTTTTTTTTTTTTTTTTGTGAGTGTATCGCCAGGCGTACCCCGCGTGATCCTCAACACCCTCATGATGCGTATGATGGTGGGATTGATGGGCAACGAGGCATTCAGGTCGATTTCTTCCAGCGTGATTCCCATGATGGACAGCAGCACAATGGCCAGGTCCAACTGGTTCCATCTGGGCAACAAGAATCCAGTTAGCTTTTGCAGCATGTTCGATCATTGTGACTCGTTTTGATATTTTTTCAAAAATGCACCATTTTAGTTTAGTTTTTTTATGTTTCATTTTAGCTTTAGGATTTTATTTTTAATTTTTATTTTTTTAGAGCATCAGTCGATGCAACATGCGCACTGACGGCGTTTTCTTTTATACGTCGCCGCCATGCGACAATTTGGTGGCTGAAAGTCGACTCAAGTTTATATGGGCTAAGAACAGGTCTCAGTTGTGGCGCAACATGATTTTGGTGGTTTTGAGGTCACTGTAAAAATTGATTCTTTGAACCCATTATTGTTGTTGTCGTCTTCCGAATCTTTTTAAAAGCACCCATGGCCATGGTGCCCACTGACTCAAGTGACGCCACTTATGTTTCCAGGATTTGCCAGGACCTCTTTGATCATATTATTCTGTTGTATTCGTCATATTTTAAAATATTTTTCTTGTAATGTTGGAAAAAAATCTTAAATGTTTTGCTTTTTTCCTTGTATGTTTATAACGCTGTTGATTATAATGTGATTTTTTTCTCCCTTTCCAGTTCCAATCAATATTTGATAGATGCAATTGCAATCATCAATAGATATAGATATTTTACATCAAATCTATACAAAATGTTACTTTTTTTGGGGGGGGGGTGTCATAATATTACTTGAAAGATTCCATCCAATGTAGTGACTGAGCAAAATGCTGTCATTGAAGGGGCGCAAAGTGACCTTGGCAACCCTCACTACGCCACTGGGGGGGTGGTGGGGTC